ACCCATGATTCATGTAACCAGTTATTACAGATCTGTTGAACACGACTCTCAAACCAGCAGAAAGATCCAGTTCCAGAACCAATGGTGCGGCTTTGCGGCACACTCAGAATCATCGCAAAGACAGCGACTCTCCAGGTATAAGGAACGAGCAGGTTCCTAAGATATGCTTTGTTTAAACTGTAAAAGTCCATTACTGAACCTCATCTAAAAGCTGTCTCAATGTAAAAGAGCACTGTGGTGAGGAATGGATGGACTGACCTCCATCAAGGTCAACCTAGACAAAGAAAGTGGACATTGCCCATTGTTAGCTCCCTCTTTGTCCTTTCTCAACACACCCAAAAGTTTTCTTCACTACCCTGAGTTAATCCAAGGCATTAAAAATAGTTTGGTCTCCCCAAAACTGGAGATACAAATCAAATAAGGGGCAAACCGGCTCTAAGAAGTCTGTAGTGGACAGTAGGCCCAGCAGGGAAGAGGTCACACCAGGACAGCACAGAGCAGCTGAACAGCTATCAGAGGAGATGCAGTTCTTCAGGCAGAATGCAGGAGGGATGGGGAAGGGTGTTTAGGGCAAAGGGAACATTGGTGTGAGCAAATACTAGGAAATAGCATTGCAAGCCAGCAGTTGATGCCATGGGTATAATGGAATTCTTTTCTTAGTGAAATCTAGTAGCCATTTTTTGGAGGGTGGGCTTGTTGTTTTTGGCTGTTGTTTTGTTTGGATCTTTGTTTGTTTGTTTTTTATTTGATTGCTTTGGGAACTGCAGTGAAAATCTGCCGAATTCCTTGACAAATGTTGTGAAATAATTATATTTTGCTGTGTTGGATTGTGAATGTTTGGACAAAACATTGTTTTCTGAACAAAAAGAGATGCGTACATTTAATAAAGGTTCAAGTTCAAGTTTTAAAAAAGAACAGAGGCATCTAGAAACCCTTTCTTGAAGAAAAGCCATTTGTGCCAAACTGAAAAGGGATTATCCAAAAGAGAAGGATGCCAGAAGTGGAAAGTGTGCTGAGGGGACACGCAGCAGCAGGGACAGGGGAGGAGTGGGCTCGGAGCAACAGAGGGAGACAGAGACAGGTGTCCAGAGCTTTGGAAGCTGTGTGGTGATCTGGGCTTTATCCTGGCAATGGGAAACCGGGAAAGTCTGGGGTAGGCAGTATGATTACAATTTCAAATCCTTGCATTAGCAGTAAGATAGAGAAAGGGTCGAAAAAGTGTGAGACATACTCGGACTTACTGATTGATGTTTCCTGTGTCGTGATGGGCTTATAATTCCATAAATCCATTGAAAACTGAAATTAAACCCAAATGCCGTTTATACCCCTAATCTACGTGACATCATAGCCTCATGATACAGCACACTGTAGAGTAGGGAGGAGGTGGGCAGGGAATGGGAAGGAATGGAGTATGGCATATGTTGATATATTGCCAACCTGGCAAGAATGTTTCAATTGAAAACCTGTAGTATGAATTTGATTGAATGTCTGGAACTTCTGAAAAATCCCAACTTAAACTGTAAGTCAAGGACTATTTGAATGCGTGGACCTTCTTTCTATAGTGGTGCTAATCCACATGAGGGGGGTCAGGTTGGATTTAGCTGGAGGATGAAGAAAGGAAGGGGTGGAGGTGAGAAATTGCGGCAGTGGGCGGTATAGGCATGGCCTGGTTGGGGTGAACGCACTGAGCGGCGAGACTGCACCTCGGCTCTTCACACAAACACACAGATGTTTTTATTCATCTCCATATTTGTTGTTAACTTGTTTTCTTTTAAATTTACACTTAAACTCATTTGAGTAAACTCCAACTGGATGGCAATGAATGATAGTAAATATCAGAAAATATTTCCCAACTATTGCAGTGACATATGGCCCTGTAATTTCAGATCCCCTAATCCAGCAATATGGCTTCCGTCTCTCTCACTCGGGTAATGCTGTTATTAAAGAAGCTGAAACATGGTTTTAAAATACGACAGCCTTTGGTCTCTGGGTGTCCACATGAGAAAGAGGAAAAAGCAAAACAATATCATGAGTTTGAAAGAAATATGATGAATGTAATTTTTTAATATACAAATCCTGCATTTTATTTCTATCCCTGTAATTTGTTTTTAGGCAACAAGGGTTTGGTGTCCTGCTACAAACTCATTTTAGTGATTATTTCTAGAGTTACACAGAAGATAAACTAGAGGCAGAGAGTGGAGGTCCACTGTGTGCCTTTCTTCCCAGGGACGAGAGCTTACTTTATCTCTGGGAGGCTGTTCTGCTCAGGGCAGGAAAAGTTATCTTCCTCTGTGCACCAGGAACTTGGGCTTTTTAAGCAGCTAGGTTTTTATGGACTTCTTTTATTGTCTTCATAAAGAGCATGGAAAAAGCTGAAGGCAGCCGTCCACTGACCAAGGCAAAGCACGTCTCTACCATAAAATGCCAACTCCGAGCACAAGGACCAAGAACTCAGGATTCCTCATGGAAATCCTCAGTCTTGACCTGCTATTTCTTAGTTTCATCCTTGTTCCTCTTGCTTCTGCTCATCCTCCTCCTTTTCTTCCTCTTTTTCCTTCTTCTTCCTCTTCTTCTTTTGAAATATAAGCTGAGTCTTTTATATTATTTTTATTTCATTTGATTTTTTGTGTTTGGTGTTTTGCCTGCTTGTGTTTCTGTGTACCACTTGAATGTCTGATTCTCGGAGACTAGAAGAGGACATTCAGTCTCCTGGAATTGGAGTTACAGGTGGTTTTGAGTCATTGAACCAAGTCCTTTGCAAGTAACTAGTAAGCAGGTAGTAAGTGTTCCTAAGTACTAAGCTGTCTCTCCAGCCCCCACCCCCATTTCTTAGTTTCTTGTTATCATGAGACGCTAACTAACTAACTAAATAAATAAATAAAATTATATGTGCTCTTTTAATTTTCCAAGAATAAAAATCCCTACAACTTGACAAAGGAATCTTGTGTCTTAGGCAAGGTATACTTGTAGTGGCTATAGATTTGAAGCATTTGACATGAGGAACTGGGTTGCAAGTGTCAAAAAATTACTCAAAAGAAGAGGAGTTTTGAAAAGATTTCAGCGTTTGTCAACTAGAAAAATTACACTGAACTTGAACTTCCAGGGTTTGGGAGGTAGTTTTGTGGGAAAGCGTGAGTTCTATTCCTGGCATGTGCACACAGAGACACACACACTACAGAAAGTTTCTTAAAATTCAGTATGTGAACTCTAAAAATTACATCAGCAAAAAACAAAAAATTCCTGATAAATGTGTAAGTTCTAATTTATTCTTATTGCTTGGTTTTCAGCTCTTAAACTAAGATCAAGTGTAAAATCTTCCTTATTTATAAAAACAAATGATCACTTAAGAATTATCCCAAGGAAATGAAACTAAACATTGACTCCCCAGCTACTATGCTCCAATGTGGGGCCTTCCAGCATGTTTATACAAGTCAATTTTGGTGACATCTTTCTAAAGAATGGAAGATGTCATAAGAAGGGTCAACTGTATCCTAAGAGCAAGCAGCAACATGGAAATGAAACTGGGTGTCACCTTCTCCTTGAGGGCAACAAGTATGTTGGAGGGACGGGCCTAATTAGTCAAAGATGCAGGCAAGTGGACCTGCGGGTCAAGCCTGTCAGCCCATCATTAACCCGGGCTTTGTTCTCTCTCCGTCTGAACTCCTTTACATGGTCATCACCGCCTACTCTCCCCGGAGACCACTGTGTTCCCTACTCAGATTTCACTTGTTATCTGCTCTGTGATGGACAGCACAATTGTCATAACTTTTGTCTTTGAGGACACAGGTCATCCCTCTTAGAAAACAAATCTAGATGATGTTACCAAATCAAATGCACGGGGACACTGGTGGCTAAACTAGACAAATTTATTTTTTTCTTCAGTTTTTTCTACTATCCTAAAGGAAAAAGAAGACATCCAATATAAGTTCAGGGTGTTCAAATTTGAGATGTTTGTTATTGAATGTATGGGATGATGTTGTTTCGTTGTCTCGGTGACTTCTACTAATATGATTTAGGTGAATAGTTGTTGCTAACGTGATTTTGTGTTAGTGGGATTGAACCTAGAGCCACGAATGTGCTAGGTAAGCACTCTACCAGGAAGCTACTTTTCCTGCCCCCTTTGCCTGTTTTCCTCTTTCCTTTGAGACTGGCTCACCAGGTAGCCAAGGTTAAATTTGAACTTACTTCATATTCCAGACAGGCCTTGAACTCCTTGCTGTCCCCATAACTGAGATGACAGCCCTGGCAGGTTTGCCCCTGTGGGTCCTTTAGGGCCAGTGTGCTCCTTAAATCTTATTACATGGGTTATTTTTCAGGCACTTAACACAGCGCGGCCCCTCCTATTGAATGTTTTTATCTTTAACCATCACAAGCATGTCTTGGTCAAAAGACATGACTCCTTTGTCAAGTATGAGGAGTTGCACTTCATCAGCTGTGGGGAAGTGAAGGCAGAACCTGAAGTCGCCAGTCAGGTCATACCCACAGTCGAGGGCAGACAGCTATGACTTAGACATGGCTGTTAGTGCTCAGCTGGCTTTCCCCACTGGTACAGTTCAGAATCCCATGCCTAGGAAATGGTGCCACCCATAGTGATGAAGTTTTTTTCAACCCAATTATCAGAATCAGGATGACCCCCCCCCAAAAAAAATGCCCCAAAGACATGCAACCAAATCAGGACGACACTTCACTGAAACTCTTCCCAGGTGACTCCCAGTTTTCATCTTCACTGAGGAAAATAAGCGAATAAACACCCAGGATTTAAGAGACCTGAAAGGTTTTAGTCATGTATTTTTCTGCATCCCAAAGAAACGATGATTTGATTTCATTAATTTTCCCCAGAAAGCACTTACATCACTAGCACCCCATTCTGGGCTCAGGGCACAACAAACCATCCTGTCTCTAAAATCGTCTCTGGGCTTGCTGGAGGGAACTCGGTTACAAACTCCTCGGGTACTGTCTTGAACTGATAGAATAGCAATCCTTTCTCCTGCTGTGCACAGTGCGGCTGCAGAAGCCGACGCCATCGACCCGCTGATAAACATCCTGTCGAGCAAGCGGGACGGAGCCATCGCCAATGCTGCCACCGTGCTGACCAACATGGCCATCCAGGAACCTCTGCGCTCCGTCATCCAGAGCCACGAAGTGATGCACGCGCTGCTGGGCCCGCTGCATTCCACGAACACAGTGGTGCAGAGCACGGCGGCGCTCACCGTGGCTGCCACTGCCTGTGATGTGGAGGCCCGCAATGAGGTGAGGCTGAACCGGCACGTGGCTTGGAGTCATTCCATCTGCTCAGACCACTACCTAATCCTCTCTACCTGCTTTCATTCCTGTTGGCACCGTTTCTTCCTACCCATTAACGGGGGCATCCAGCTGGCCTCTGGGTATTTATTTTCCTACTACTCAGTGCCAGTACTGTGTTGGTTGGTGGTGATCTGATGAGAAGCGACGGGGCTGTGGCCATGCTATCCCGCACTTGCAGAGGGTCTGTTTAGCCTGGGACACTGTAGAAGATTCTTTCCTGCCTTCCCTCCCCATACTGGCCCTTTAGCCTGTGACCCTCCTTACACCATTGCAAAGTCACAGAAAGTAAGAATGATCTTTATATACAAAAACCCCGCGTGACTCACGACTGCTGCCCAATGGCCCAAGCAACAGCTTTTCCTAGAATATCACAATACAGATATACTTGCTGTCTGCAAGCCCATGTGAATGTGCGCTCTTATTTTACCTCCTCTGTTTCTCTGCATGGAAAGGTGGTCTGCCCTTTTATCTACCTGGTAAATTCCTCTTCCCATTCAAAACCAGCTCTACCACCTTTACCAGTTTTTTTCCAGCCCTTCAGTTTGGCTGGGCCGTTCCCCACCCCTACTCCACATTTTATGGTTCTTAAAGGAAAAATTATAAACCCCTTCAAGCTTTGGGGAAAGGAACGGAATTTTCTGACCAATTGTCCAAGTAATTACTATATACATGAAACATAATGTTTATTTCTGTATTATTTATCTTCAGGATCTCAGTCCATAACCAGGGCTAGCCTCTGGCCTGGAGCTCACCACCCTCCCCCCTCTACCCTCTGAGAGCTGGGACTATAGATGTGGGCCTCCACACCTGACTTTCATAATGCCTCTTTAATGAATAGATGTTAAATGAATGAGAAAATAAATGGATGGAGGAATTAATAAGTTAGCTCTCTGCCAAAAAACACACATATTAGATTTCTATCTTGTTTTATACCCAGAAATAAATATGGTCAGAAAATTGGCTTCCTAAGCACGCCATGCTTCAAATGCACCAGTGAGTTCTGTGTGGTGATGCACAGATGCAGCGATGAGCTCTATGTAACAATACATGAAGCCTCCAGGGTGCTGCTCTCCCAGAAGGTTTTTTTTGGAGGGGGTACTCAATTTTATTGGTCATTCCAGCTTCTAGAGCAGTGGTCCTCAACCGGTGGCTCAGGACCATTTTGGGGGTCAAACAACACGTTCACAGGGGTCACATACCAGATATCCTGTATATCAGATATTTACATTACAATTCATAACAATACCAAAATTACAGTTTAAAGTTAATTTTCTGGTTGGGGTCACTACAACATGAGGCTCGCAGCATCAGGAAGGCTGGGATCCACGGTTCTAGAGACATCCACGTGCTTTGGCTTGTGGTCCCGTCTCCCGCCTTCATAGACTATCACAGCAGCGTTGTTCCCTACCATACCCTTTCTGCTTCTGGCACTCCTCTTCCTCTTGTCAGAATCTTTGCAATTACACTGAGACTGCTTGAGAGTGCAGTGTCGTCTCCCAGGCTCAGCAGCTGTGATTTTATCACACGCACAAAGTCATCTTCAGGGGTAAGGTGACACATTCCTGTCTGTCAGGAGCAAACGAATCTCCAGTGTTCAGGTGCAGGGTGGATGAGCACAGATATTCCCCCACACTGCGGGAGGAGATGGGCCGCCACCTCCCCCTCATCCCAGGGAAATTCTGAAAAATTCTGGAACGACTTTCCTGGGGCTTCTTAGAATGGAAAAGTACATGCCTGTACAGACTGGCAGACTTCCCCCTGAATTTAATAACTCTAAACTGACACATTCTAAAATTGTCTTTGCACAGTTGAAACTTTTGCATAATCAAATAATGAGATTTTTCTAATGTATGAATGTTGATTTTTCTATCCTCCATGCCCTGCCGAGGATGACACCCAGGGTTCTAGTCATGGCAGGCAGTGCTTTGCCCATGAACCGTATTGACAGGACAGCCCTGGGATTTGGGATAGGGTCTTGCTCTGTAATACAGGCTGGCCTTGAGCTCAGGAGTCTGCTGCCCCAGCCTCTGAGTACGCAGATTACAGGTGTGGTTCGCCTGTCCCGTTTCTATACTCTTATCATGTAAATTGTGGTTTCTGGTTGTAGCTGAGGAACTGTGGTGGTCTGGAGCCCCTGACTGAACTCCTGCACTCCAAGAATGATGAGGTACGAAGGCATGCCAGCTGGGCTGTGATGGTCTGCGCCAGTGACGAGCTGACGGCTGTCGAGTTATGCAGGCTTGGGTAAGTGGAGTTGCCGTTCATCAAGGTCAGGTACAGAACACAAGAGAAAGAAGCAGACCCTTCAGGCTGAAGAAGTGTCAAATAGAGGCTGCGGGGTTATTTAGCGTAGCGTCTGGAGGGGCCATCAGGGTAGGGCATCCTTTGCTTTTCTGTCCACCTGATGGTGACCTCCTTGAGTGTTCCACCTTCACTTTCAATGTTTCCTTTTCCACCCCATCCTCATAAATGGTACTCTTTCACCTTTGCTAAACACATCCTGTTTATTGTAGCACGATTAATAGAACTCAGAGACAGATATTGAGGTTCTACCCAAAGGTCAGAAAATCAAAACAGCCAGCCACTGTCTTTTACCTCTACCTCAGTCTGAAATGGCTTTCAGGAATCCTCAGAATGGGATTGAGAGCTGTCTCCTCCTGTCTTTATTTTTTTATTTATTAAAGATTTCTGTCTCTTCCCCACTGCCGCCTCCCCTTTCTCTTCCCCTCCCCCAATCAAGTCCCCCTCCTTCATCAGCCCAAAGAGCAATCAGGGTTCCCTGCCCTGTGGGAAGTCCAAGGACCACCCACCTCCATCCAGGTCTAGTAAGGAGAGCATCCAAACTGCCTAGGCTCCCACAAAACCAATAGGTGCAGTAGGATCAAAGGTCTGGGATTAAAGGCGTGCACCACTACCGCCTGGTTTCTATTACAAACTAGTGTGGCTACTGGGATTAAAGTGTGCGCAACCAAACCACTACCTGATCTATAAGGCTGACGGACCAGTGGGGCTGTTTTGCTCTCTGATCTTCAGACAAGCTTTATTTATTAAAATACAAACGAAGTATACTACAGTTTATGTCCCAGTCTCAAGGCCGAAATAAGCAGGTTGGGCCTCTACTATCTTATTTAACCCCCCCTCCCCACAACACCTAACCCTTGCACCTGATATCTGTATTTAATCAGCATCCTTCTCCCAGTTTATTCTTCCCATGTGTTGTGGATGAACTTGGCTCTCCTTAGCATGGTAGCAAAAGAGCTGTGAAGGCCTCCACACAGTCCCAAGTGTTTGCTCTTGTTACACAATTTGTTAACAAAATCTAGGGGCTCCTCCTCTTTGTGCATAAATGAACAATGAGAAGAAAAGCCAGGGCCGGCCCGACTCACTGCTGTGTTCTACTGAATCTGTAGGGCACAGTGCTCCTCAAACTGCTCCACGAGACAGAAAGGAACAGTCCCAAATGCTCTCTGTGAAACCAGCATTACCCTAATTCCAAACCGGATAAAGGAAATAATCTCCCCGATAAACATAGACACAAGCATTCTTCTAATGTGATTTCAAGAACATACAAAGCTTAGACACTGGAGGGTTGTAGTGTAACAGAGCGTGGTAGTTTGAATGAAAATTGTTCTATAGGTGCACAGGGATGGCACTCTTAGGAGGTGTGGCTTTATTGGAGGAAGTGTGTCCCTGGGTAAGCTGTGAGGTATCAGATGCTCAAGTCAGGCCCACTGTGGCATTCACTTCCTGCTGCCTACAAGTACAGATGCAGAACTCAGCTACCTCTCCGGCACCATATCTGCCATGTGTGCCACCATGCTCCTTGCCATGGCGATTATGGACTAAACCTCTGAACCGTGAGCCAGCCCCAATCAAATATTTTCCTTTATAAGAGTTGTTGTGATCATGGTGTCTCCTCATGGCAATAGAAACCCTAAGACAGAGTAAATATCTGGACAAAAGAGCAGAAGTCACATGACCATTTCAATTGCTGGAGAAAAGGCATCTGGGAAGGTTCAACAACCCTTCATGGCAAAAGAAATTTCTGAAGAAATTAGAAAATTAAAAAGGACCATGTTTTGTACCAGGCTTTTTCTTTTTGCCCATCAACCAGTTTCCAAATCATGACATGGAGGCTTCTTATTAGTTTTCAATGCTCAGCCTAATTTAGGCACATTTTTGGCTAGCCCCTTTAACTTAAATATACTTGTTTCTCTTTATCTACTTTTCTTTGGTATATCTTTCTTTTACTGCTTCTCTGTGTCTGGCTGACAAGTGTCTGCCTAACTTCTTGCCCCTGGCATCTCCCTTGATCCCTCTCTTTTTCTTTGACCTTATATTTCTCCTCCTATTTATTTTCTCTACCTGTTAACCCCACCTATCCTTTCTCTGCCTATCTATTGGCCATTCAGCTCTGTATTAGACCAATCAGGTGCCTTAGGCAAGCAAGGTGAAACAGATGCAACACATCTTTACATAATTAAGCCCACATCCTTACATCATTAAGTAAACGCAGCACAAACAAAAATAACACATTTTTACAAGTTAAAATAATATTCTGCAGCACAAATGTAATACACCTTTGCCTAGTTAAAATAATAGTCTACAACAATACCTCAACAGAACTAAGGGAACATACAGCAAGTCTATAGCCAATATTTCTAAGTGGAAAAAATCTAAAATCCTTGTCTCTGAAATCAGGAACAAGACACAGGCAGCTACAGCGACTTCTGAGATTCAATAGTGCAGAGTCTTAGCTAGTGCAACAAGAGAAAGAAAGGAACAAGATACAAACAGGAAAAGTCAAATTGTCCCTGTTTGCAGAGAGCTTAATCTTTTATTTAAAAGATGCTAAATACTTCACAGAAAAACTCTTAGAATTGACAAATACTTCCAGCGACTAGCAGGATCTAAAATCAACATCCAGACATCAGTAGTTTCTCTATGTGCCAACATTAAACTTGCTAAGAAAGAAATAGGAGCGAAACAAATCCTATTTACAACCATTTAAAAATCCATGTCTAGGAATAAACAGAGACAGTGAAGTAAAAGACCTCTAAAATGAAAATAAGGACACTAGAGAATAAATTGAAGACACTAGAAGATGGGAAGATGCTCTTCACTCTTAGATCGGCATAATCAGCACCTGCACTGCAAAAGCTATTTGCATATTGAGCACAGCATCCATCAAAGCTCACAGTGACAATCTTCACAGAACTAGAATAAACAATCCAGAAATTTTTATGAAAGCCTAAAAAACTCAAAACAGTCAACGCAGTACTAAGAAAGAGCAGTGCTGGAGGTGTCACTCCTGTTAGTCCTAAATTACACTGTAGAGCCATAGTAACAAAACCTACATGGCACCAAAACACATATGGACCAATGGAATACAAGAGAGCTTCCAGATTTCAACCTTCATAGTCATAGCCCCATGATTTTTTGACAAAGATGCCAAAAATACACATTGGAGAAAATTTAGAATATTTGACAAATGATACAGGGGAGAATGGCCATCCACATGTAGAAAAATAAATAGATTCTAATCTCTTACAGTGCAGAAAGAAATTTAAAGTAGGTAGAAGACCTTAATGTAAGACCTGAAACCTTGAAGCTGATGGAAGAAGACAGGACTATACTTCTAGGTATAGGCTCAGGCAAGCACTTTCTGAAAGGAACTCCAAGGGCACAGGAAATAATCCCAAGAATTCACAAATGAGATAGAATTTCTCATTTATGCATAGCAGAATATGGTCACCAGCATGAGCAGATAGTCTTAAGAAGAGAACAATACCTTCAATAACTACTACATATGGGATTGATAACTAGAACGTGTAAAGAATATCCATCTAAAGGATCATCTAGTCAATAAATGGGCAAATGAACTGAATAGATAATTCTCAAAAGAAGAAATACAAATGACTAACAGATATCTGGAAAAGTGTTCACTATCTTAGCCATCAGAGAAAAGCAAGTTAAAATTATTTTGATATTCTGTTATAGCCAGTCAGAAAAGTTGTTATCAAGAAACAAATGACACTAAATGCTGCTGTAGGGAAGGATGAGCCCTGATACACAGCCAGGAGTGTAAACTGCATCCGAAGGACTGGAAGTACACTACCACAGAGACCATCGAATGCTCACCCAAACCAGTGGAGCAACAGAACCAGACTAGATGTCCATTAACAAACAGATAAAGAAAGCTGTGGAATTTTATCTAGCTCCTTCTTTATCTCCAAGAGCTAGTACCAGGACAGCTAGGGCTGTTACACAGTGAAACCCTGTCTTGAAAAACAAACAAACAAACAAACAAAAAACTCTGCAGTCATGACACCTGAAGAAAAGTGGATAGAACTGAAGATTACTGTGTAAAATTCATATCTAGACTCAGAAAGACAAGTATGTATTTCTTATATGTAGAACCTAGATTTAAATTATAAGTGTATGTGTGTGTTTAAAGGAGACCCTGGGAGGAAAGGAAGAAACCTTAAAAGAGTGATGGAGAAGGGAAAATGAAGGGTAACAGAATACATGTGACATGTGACAAGAGTCTAGTACCGAAAGTAGCGATCTTTAGCGGGTAAAAGGGAGCCAGCCAAGAGGGGCAAGGAAAATGAGGAAGGCCGGTGAGTGTGCAAATTAGAATAAAGTACAGTGGTGCATGCATACAAAAATGTCACAATAGAACACATTAGTTTGTAAGTCAGCCTAAAAATTAAAGAAATGACAAAAAAGGACAGAGAATTGTTCCCTAAAAATACCCATTCATCTTTTTCCTGTTGCTGTGACAAGTGCCTGAGGAGGAGGAAAACTACAGAGGAAAGGTTGGTTTTGGCTCACGGTTTCAGAGGTTTTAACTCATGGCTACTTGGTCTCCTTCAGGTTTCAGAGGTTTCAGCTCGTGGTTGCTTGGTCTCACTGTATCTGGACCTGGGGTGAGGCAACACATCACAGTGGGAGCACAGAGCTAAGCAGGGCTGCTCACCTCCAGGGCAGCCAGGAAGCAGAGAGGGGGAGGGATGGCTCCCAATAACCCTTTGAAGGACACACACCAATGCCCTCACTCCCTCCCCTGGACCCCACCTCAGTGCTCCGCCACCTCCCAGCAGTGCACAGCCAGTCAACCAGGCTTTGAATGCAGACATTTATCCAGTCCACATTGCTACCAACTGTTTGAATATGAGCTATTGCGTGGCATTTGTGTTCTCAGAAAGCACGGATTTGTCTTCATAATTCTGTCAGTTTTACTTCGTTTAAGAAGGCAAGGGAGGCGCTAACCTTTCATCTCAGTTCTTCACTCGGGAGCTCAATGTCAGTGGCTTGGAGAAAACAAACAGGGCTTTTTTTGTCTTTTTTTTTTTTATTTTGTGACAGGGCTCTAGATATCCTTGAAGAAATTAATCTATCAGTAAGTCGGAAAAATAAATTCAGCGAGGCAGCCTATAACAAATTGCTCAACAACAATCTTTCCCTGAAATACAGCCAGACTGGCTATTTGTCATCCAGCAACATAATCACCGATGGGTTCTATGATTTCGGTCGGGTAAGTGACAGCATGTGTTGTGTTCTACTATGATTTCCCCTTACAGACAGAAGTGTGAAAATCAGCACTTTAGCCTGGACTCCTGGCTAGAAGACTTTGCATTCTCACACAGTTTTAACTAGGTTCTGTTTTACCAGTAGTTTAAGTCAGCATGTTAATTCAAGTCCAGTAACACCCACGACACACGCAAACTACCGAGAAATTGCACCACAAGAGTTCATTGTACCCAACACTGAGTGGTTTTGAGAGAACTGCTATAGCATCAGCAGAGATGCTCCAGGAGAGCTGAGGACAAGAGCTGGAGATCCAGCCCAGAACACACAGGGAAATGCTGACAGAGAGCAGGGCATGAGCGTTGAGAATTCAATGAACCTATTCTATGTAGAGGAGAATTCTGATCCATTCACTCTGTAAGTACCATGCTTCTGATGTTGTAGGCTTTCACTAAGATCTCTGATCCCATGGGACCAACAGGAGGACACAGACAAGAACAAACGTGCTAGAGTTGGGTGGGGATGGGGGGGAGAGTCAATCAGAATTAGGGTATGGGCATCTACAAACCTATGAGGTAATAAAGCGGATAGTCGCCATTTTCAAAATGGTGGTGAGGCAGCCCTCACTGAGTGTGATATCTGAATAAAAACTTGGAAAGAGTAGGAAAGTCAGCCTGGTGGCTATCTAGGATGAACTTTCTGGGCAGAGGAATGGGGGCAAATTGCCGGGCATGTCTAAGGAGTATTAGGGCAGGGACAGTATAGGAGCAGAGCTGATAAAATGGGAGACTAGAGATTACTTCAGATGGGTAAAGGAACCCAGACCATATGATCCTCGAAGACGCCAACAAGAGCAGGGCCTCCATCTGAATGGGAAACGGGGCAGGATCCCTGTAGAATGGTAGAGTCTACTTCAGTGTTAGAGGATTTCTTTGCATTGTTTTGAAAGATTATGAAAACTATCTTAGTTAGGAATGAAATCTATTTACTTGATCAAAAAGATCCAGAAGTTTATCTAGTCTGCCCTCTTCTCTCAGGCTGACAAAATTGCCCTGGAATCACTTCTGTGCCCTCCCACTCTTGAGTTGATAGCCTCCTTTTCTTTGATTATTATTGTTATATAGATAGATAGATAATATAGATAGATACATGCATGCATGGAGAGAGAGAGAGAGAGAGAGAGAGAGAGAGAGAGAGAGAGAGAGAGAGAGAGAGAGAGAGAGGAGAGAGAGAATCTGCTGAGTCCATTTTTGTTGTTTTTGTGTATATGGTTTCAGGGCTGACCACTTGGCACTGGATAACCAATAAAAGGGCTCATCCTTAGGAGAGGTTAGTTCCCCTTCTCCCAGCAATCGTTAGTAGCCTGTGGTTCCTTATTTAGAGGTAGGAGCCCATGAAATTTTCTCCCCTCTGTGTTAACATGTCCATGAGTGTTTACCTGAATATATATGTGTGTGTGTGTGTGTGTGTGTACCATGTGTGTTGTGTGCTTGGTGCCTAAGAAGGCCAGAAGAAGAGAGCATCAGCTCTCTGGAGACTGGAGTTACAGACAGTTGTGAAATGCCACTAGGTTCTGGGAACTGAACCTGGATTCTCTTCAAGAGAAACAAGTGCTCTTAACAGCTGAGCCATCTTTACAGCCCACAATTTTTAAGGAATCAGTTTCTGCTTGCAGGTACTTTTACAGGTGAAGTCCTCTCTCTCTCTCTCTCTCTCTCTCTCTCTCTCTCTCTCTCTCTCTCTCTTTCTCTCTCTCTCTCTCTCTTGTCTGGTCTGTCTTTCAGTTCTCCATCTGTAGTGTGTGTGCACATGAATGGATTAGACTCTTCAAACTGTCAAGAACCCTTCCTATCAGCACTCATGTTTAAATCACGGCATACACGGAGAACCCACTCTGGCGTTCACATCATCTTACAGATAAATCCTGGTACCAAGCTTTTGCCACTGAAGGAACTCTGCTTACAGGAGCTGAATGATCACCGTGCTATTCTGTTAGTCAACAGTAAATCTGAGACGTGAGTCTTTGGGGTAGCGGTGCTTTAGGGAGGGAAGTGTACCATTTCTGCTAGTAAATACACATGCGTGTAAAATGTCCCAGTACGGTCTCCTCCCAGCTGTATCTAATGCTGAAAATAAGGGCCAGTCCACAGGAACAACCCATGTTCTCCATTGATTCCACGTTAGTAACTTCCAGTGAATTTGGGGAAATGACCAGAGAATGTAAATGTAGAAAGTATTGACAAGTCTCCAGGAATGTGTAGTAGCATTCTACTACCACCATAATTTTTCTTTAAAATAATAAATGGTTGAGCTAAAAATTAAAGTATAATAAAAAAAATACAGGGTCTCGTTATGTAGTCCAGGCTGGCCTTGAGGTCGCAGAGATCCATCCACCTCTGCCTTTAAAGTGCTGGGGTTAAGGGTAGAACCACCACACCTGGTTTACACATTTTGGGCTTTTTAAACTGGATTGCTTATAGCACAAGTTGGCTTCAAACTCCTGTTGTAGCTGAGGATGGCCTTGAACTTCTGCCTCCAAACCTGAGTGGGTTATAGGTCTGTACCACCAGGCATCATTTATGTGGTGAAGAAGCTCAAACCCAAGCCTGTGTGCATGCTGGGCAAGGTCTCTGCCAACCGAACTACCGCCCAGCCCCAGCTCAATATTAAAAAAAAAAAAAAAAAACAAACAGACTGATCCTGTGAGCCTGTGTATCTGTCTACCACCAACATGTTCTATATGTCATGCAAGTCTTTCCTGCTCTGGCTTGGGGAAAGTTTGACTTTATTTTAGTCTTAGCCTCTCTTTCATGCTTTTAAAAATAGTATGACTTTCCCAAACAATCTGCTTTATAGGACAAAGTTAGTGTTGACAAACTTCAATTTGTACCTAACTTCAAATGTATGACATTCTAGTTCTCCACCTCCATCTATGGAGGATAAATTGTCAGACGTTGGCTATGGACGAAGCATTTCTTCTTCATCTTCCTTAAGAAGGGCAAGCAAAGAGAAGAGCACGTAAGGACATTATCTTATTAACACTCAGATAAGCCCCTAGAGATGAAAGATGAAGGTTTTTGTTGTTAGATTTTTAGATTTTTTGGCAACTCAATTCTTTTTCTTCTTATGGTAATAGAGCTTTATAATTGTTTTGTAAACTGCTTTGGTAAAGATCTCTGAAGGGGAAATTAGGTGTGGGGGACCTGTAATTGAGGTTGAGTTTCCCTGAACTGTGGTTGGAATAGGCTCTGACTGTTAACAATGGTGATTGACCCAATCATAATGGGAGAGAAAGGACCTTCTAATAAAATTAGCTTGTCAATGTAACCTGTTGCCAATGTTAGTATAACTAGAATAAGATGTGTTCTTTACAAATGACAAAAAAGAAAAATAGTTTTCATTTTAGTGCTGGATTTGGATCTCCCACAGAAGAAAAATCAGAGCCCACATCAGGACGAAACACTGTCCTTAGCAGAGGTGCCACCAAGGAGAAAGGCTCAAGGTAGGAAATCTTCTCCGGGTTACAACCATGACAACTTGTAATTATACAACAAGGGTCAGAAAGGGAGATGTAGCTTTTGTTTATTCTATGCTGGGTATGGAACCCCTAAGTCTCCAAGGTAGGTAAGGGCTTACACTGAACCATAACCAAGCACCTAAAACTTCCTATTTAGTAGCCACCTCTCAGGTCTTAAATAGCTTGGTGCCAGAGAGTCTGTCCAGCAAGTGATATAATCTGGACTTGGGCCCCAGTACTACCAAAGTGGGGGAAATATGGTTTGTACTTATTAATGGCAGTTGAAGGAATATTTGAATTTTTTTTTCAAAATATTAAAAAAAAATTCACGTGAACTTCAGTTGATTTGTTCCTTCTACCCTGTGCGGTAAATAATGGGTAAAGATAAATAATTCCCGGCCCTGGTTTGCTCCATTGAAACATCGACCCAGTACTTGGGAATTACTTAACTTGGAAGCCACTCATGCCTACCCCAGGTTAGCCCCATAGTCTTGGCTTGTTTGAATCTGGAACAAATTCAAGTTCCTTGTCAATTAGGTAATGAATGTTTCAGTAAGATCTGTTGCTTAACCATAATATTGTGAGAGTCTAGCCTCCTGAACACAACATAAAATGTCTGCACCCATACATAGGAGGATTTAGCATGCTTTCTAAACAGTCTCTTTACCTTAAAATTAATATGCTTATTTACATATCACTAATGACCAAGTTACAAAATTCTGCTAGAAAAATTGATAGAACTAAAGTCATGCAGAATATTAACCTTCATCAGGCGATGAAAGGAGACAGAGACAGAGACCCACATAGGAGCACCGGACTGAAATCTCAAGGTCCAAATCAGGAGCAGAAGGAAAGCGAGCACGAGCAAGGAACTCAGGACCACTAGGGGTGCACCCACACACTGAGACAATGGGGATGTTCTATCGGGAACTCACCAAGGCCAGCTGGCCTGGGTCTGAAAAAGCCTGGGTTAAAACCGGTCTCACTGAACATAGTGGACAATGAGGACTACTGAGACCTCAAGAACAATGGCAATGGGTTTTTGAGCCTACTGCACGTATTGGCTTTGTGGGAGCCTAGGCAGTCTGGATGCTCACCTTATGAGACCTGGATGGAGGAGGGTGGTCCTTGGACTTCCCACAGGGCAGAGAACCCTGATTGCTCTTTGGGCTGACGGGGGGGGGGGGGGCTGGATTGGGGGGGGGGGGGGGAAGGGGGGGGGGGCGGTGGGGAAGAGACAGAAATCTTTAATAAATTAAAAAAATAAATTAAAAAAATAAAATACTCTAAAAAAAATAAAGTCATGCAGAAGCAATAAAGCACCCAGAAACCCTCATCCCCTAAAAACCACAGCTGGCTGTGAGACTTGTCCCTGCAGCGTCCACAGCTGGGGAGCAAGTATGTGGTTGAACTGAGGGACACTCTGACCTGCCTGGACCTGTGGGACTTGGTCTTTCCATTCTTTCTGAGATACCCCACCCACCCCTTCCAAGTATATTTGGATAGACCTCTTGATCTGCCCATATGAGTATTGGTTCACCAAAGACTTGTCTACCTTAAGAGTCGGGAGTGGTGGCACACGCCTTTAATCCCAGAACTTGGGAGGCAGAGATAGGTAGATCTCTGTGAGTTTGAGGCCAGCCTGGTCTACAGGGTAAGTTCCAGGACAGCCAGGACTGTTAAACAGAAAAATCCTGTCTTGGAAAACCAAAAAACAAACCAAACCAAACCAAACAAAAAAAGTGTGTCATTTACTGAACTTGCCCTTTGGCCCTTATTAAGGAGAAAACTTACTAAAGGCTAAAATCACAAATCAGGACCATTGGAGTCTGGGCCATCTCAGAAGTGGGAAAGCTGAGTCTTACCTGAGACTCTTTCATGCTTACGTTTCTGTGGTTTCCTCACAAAGGGGCTGTGGTGGCCATCTAGGGAGATCGTCCTCTTCCTCTTAGAAAACTCACTAGTTGATTTCTGGTCAGCTTGAATCATCTGGGAAGAGGGAGCCTTAGCTGAGAAAGTGCCCAAGCAGGTGGGCTAGTAAGCAAGTCTGTGGTCATGTTATTCTTATCAGTGTTAGTGTTAGTGTTAGTGGTTGATGTTGAAGGCCCCAGCCCCCTGTGGGTGGTGCCATCCCTGAGTAGGTAGTCCTGGGATATACAGGAAAGCAGGCTGAGAAAGCCATGAGAATCAAGCCAGTGAGTAGCATTCCTCCAAGGCTGATGGCGACTTCTCTTCACGAAGGAGTGTAACCTAAGAGATGGGAGCTTAAATAAACCCTTTCCTCCCCAGCTAGAAGTTGCTTTTGGTCATGATGTTTATTACAGTAACAAGAACACTAACCAGGACACAGGATCGCTTGCTCTCCTATGGGTTCTTCTCAGTACCCTCAGCTAGTGCCATCCTTTGAAATCTCCAGGGGTACAAACAACAGAGAAGACTTTATCTACTAGCTGGAGATTCTGATGAGTCAATGATAACTATGGGGTGGGGCCAAAGGTTTAGGACAAGCTGTTTGGGGGAAGGGTGCCGAGCTGGAAATGGATTCAAGGATATAAATACACCTAGTGTTAGCGTGCATGAAGAGCAGGCACTGCCATCTACCACGCTAGACATAAACGGTGTGAAAGTGCAGACTCACTCTTATGCAGATGTAAGGAGAGTTCTGTACGCAGCACAATTACAGTTTTAATTGATATGCCACAAAATAGCCTTTTGTCTAAAACCCTGTGGAATTTAGAGGGGGAATTTGCGTAACCGGCACCAGTCAGAGTCTAACATAGTTCAAGCGTCCCAGTACCCTAACCCTGATACTCTCCATCCAGTCCCTGATACTGCATTGCAGACTCTGAGGTTGACAGGACTTGGTGGTGGTGTTTTCTGGGGTTTTGGTTTTTCAAGATCTCACTATGTAGCTGTAGCCCTGGTTGACCTGGAATTCACTTACGTAGGCCAGACTGGCCTGGAACCCACAGCACAGGTAGCCTATCTCTACCTCCTGAGTTCTGGCAATAAGGGTGTGTACCACCAGGTCATCGACGATGACTTTTATGGGATCCTTGGTATGTTACATCTGATACTGCTGTTTTCCACCCAGCACAATGCCTTTGAGACAGTTCCAAATTATTTTGTGTATTACTAGTTTATTCCTTTTTATTCTTGACCAGTATTTCATTGTAAGGGTTTATCACTATATATACTCATTTCTTATCGAAGGGCATTTGAATTGAATTGTCTCTAGTTTTTTTTTTTTTTTTTTGGCATTTTATACATGTGAGTCATTGCATTTTGTTCTAATTCATTTCCCTCCCCAGTTGCCTTTTCCTTATTCCTCTATGCCTCTCAGATTAATTCAGAGTATAGTAAGTATTTGGTCATTTGATTGACTAGATACAGGATTTTATCATTGTTTACTCTCAAAGGAAAGGGAGGGGGAAAAAAGAAGAAGAAAAGGTAAAAGAGGAAGAAGAGGTCCTAGCAGTGCCCAAACTGACAGAAGGCAGCCCCGACAAAGAGTGGTACCCGCCTCCTGACCCTGAGTTCTGCGTATACGTGTACGAGGTGACCAAGTCCATACTGCCCATCATCAACATTAAGGACCAGATCGAGGCCCTTGCCAAGTGAGCTCTCCCCTCCCACCCCCATCTTCCTCTCTCTGTGTATACTTACTTCTGAATTTTTAAAAGCTTCAGTGGTTTGCTTTTTTTAAAAGTTAATTTAGAATAAAATAAACAAAATAAGCAGTAGTGGTTTGTGGCGCCTGAGCTCTGACTCCACAGTAGGAGTGCAGGGAATTAAAGGGGCTGTCATTTCTGTTACGTAAAAATCAGAGCAGAAGTTGCTCAGAGACAAACGCCTGCTACTTTTTTTCTGGTTAAGCTGATTAAATGCACCTTTGATATGAGAGAGGCTATGAATGAATTCGTGTTTAAAAATGAAATCATTTCTTAGGTGTACATGGTCCTCATTACTTAAAGGCGTCCTATTGTGAGTTCTCTATAAACTCCCTCGTTTTTCTTTTAAGTGCAAATAGGCACCTGTTTTTCTGATGGGTGTCTGCTGGTTTATTTGCCCTTTCTCTCGAGTGGACTGTGGGTATTCTGAGAGCTCGTCGCAGGCCACACCAGAGCTCCCTGTAAGGCTCCGAAGTTGCCCCCCTCATTCGGGCTCATTCCATTAACGAGGTTGAGGCTGGCGGGGGGGGGGGGCATGCTTACTGTACTAAGTCAATCACAAATACATATGTGAATGGAAATCATGCTGATTTAATTCAGTGCAGAGAACAAAATGAATGCTAAGATCCCAATGGGTACACACAAGCTAAATGATTATCACACTAAACATACATGTAATTTTAAAGCTTTATCTTATTCTTGAGTAGTGTTAAGTGTTTTAGTCTGAAAGTGAAAGAATTTACTAACTGGTGGACTTTCTTCTTTCAAGGCATTTAACCTCAAAAGCAAGAGGAAACCAGACAACTTTCCCACTAGACTCATAACATTTTCAAGGGGGGGGGGGTGCCTATACTTTTGAGATGAGATCTCAGTATATGGCCCAGTCTGGCCTCACCCTTCTGAGGCTCCTTCTGCCTCTGCCTCCTAAAGACTGAGCTTATAAGCAATGTAAATTTCATAATTTGTATTTAAAATTTTTTTCATTTAAAATATATTTTTTAATGAAGAAAGATACAGTAAGCATGTCCCCCCGCAAGTACTTTTTTTAAGTAAAGCAAATAAAAACCAGAGAAAATGTAGTTTTTACATGTGTAATTGTATATATAAGCATACATAAAACATCAAAAGTAAGTGATTAAAACTGACTTTTTCATCTCCATGTAATGGGCACAGGTATGTGGCGGATAAAATGGGTGGTAAGATTTCAAAAGAGAAGCTGTCTGACTTCAGCTGGGAGCTTCATATAAGTGAACTGAAATTTCAACTGAAATCCAATGTCATACCAATTGGATACATCAAGAAAGGAATCTTTTATCATCGAGCTTTGCTCTTCAAGGTATTTAAAGTATTTTTGTCTCATTTCTCATTAGGTTAAAAAAATTTGTCTTTATTGCATCAGATGGAACCTGTTGCTAACATTTAACTGGATGATATTTACTTTTGCATTTATACTTATTTAGTTTTAAAATATTTGTGATTACATATACATATATGTACACACATGGGTAAGTAATATAAAAATTCATTAGGTAGAAAAATTTCATGAACATCTATACATAAAATAACACTGGCATGAGAACCAGGGTTCCTTGCAGGGAATGAGGAGGACATCATCTAGATAGCAGAAGGGAGGGAGAAGACTTGGAGTAGAACAACAAAAAGGACTCGGCAGCTACCTGACTGTGGTGAGGAGAGTGCCTGGGAAGAGCAGAGTTACCCCAGGTCCTGGGAAGGGCAAGCGAAGAAGACAGCCCCATTCACCAAGACGGAGCCCTAGGCAAGTGTGAGGCTTAGGAGAGTACTGATCCTCTGTGTAGGAAATGAGAAAATGCTTCCAACTCCCAAGTAATTATAAACTCCTGTATTAGTTACTGTGTGTGATGTTTTGCTCTTTTGGCTTTTTGGGAGGCCCACCACCCAGCTCCCAAATAAATCACACACAGAGGCTTATTCTTAGTTATGAATGCCCAACCTTAGCTTGGCTTGTTTCTTGCCAGCTTTTCTTAACTTATGTTAATCTGACTGCCTTTTGTCTCTGGGGTTTTATCTTTCTCTATTTCTATACACCTTTCCCAACTTTTTTCTCAGTGGCTTACTGTGTAGCTGGGTGGCTGGTCCCTGATGTCCTCTTCTCCTTGTTCTCTCCTCGCTCTCTGTTCTTCTGTTTATATTCTTTGCCTGAAAGCTCTGCCTATCCTTGCTCCTACCTTGCTATTGGCCATTCGTCTCTTTATTAGGACCATCAGGTGTTTTAGACAGGCACAGTCACACGGCTTCATAGAGTTAAACAAATGCAACATAAATAGAAATCACACACCTGAAAATAATATTCCCCAAGTTACTTTTCTGCTTTCTGTGACCAACTATCTGGCAGGAAGCAATTTAAGGGAAGAAGGATTTGAGACTTAAGTCCACAGTGGCCTGGAGGTACGGCAGCAGCAGCTGAAAACACTGCGCCCACAGTCAGGGAGCAGAGAAAAATGGTCATGTGAAGTTCTTTTTGTTCTTTCCTCCCCTGCTGTTTGGGATGCCCACGCCGATGGGATGGTGATGCCCACATACAGAGTTGGTCTCCTTGTGTCCTTCTTCAGTTAAACCTCTGAAATTTCCTTACAAAATACCCCAAGGTGTGTCTACTAGATGAGGCTAAAGCCAATAAGCTGACAATGAACTACTACTAATCTACCACTTACCGCTTTGACAACTAAACTCATCATTTTAAGTGAAAATATTCCATATCTCATTCTGGAGGACTCCTGGGCATCTCATGATGCAAACTTTCTTTAGTTAACTATGAGAGTCTCCCAAATCTTAACAGTCAAAAGTCTACTCTAAAAGTCAAAGCAATTTCTTAATGACGATGCCTATAAAGAACATTTTCCAAGTTATATAATTCTAGCATATAATGTCACAGAATAATCATTGCCTAATAAAAATGGATGAACAGGAACACAGTAAGAAAAGATTGGGTCAAAATAAGACCAAAACTCAACAGAGACCTAGGTGTGGCTCTTGGTACTTGGGAGGCAAAGGCAGGCAAATCTCTGAACTCAAGGCCAGTGTTGGTCTACAGAGTGACAGGTAGAACTATATAGAGAAACCTTGTCCTGGAAAACCAAACAAACCAAAATAAAAATCTCAACAGGGAAAACAGCAATCCCTACGCCACCATGTTCAGCATCCAGGGCTTGTAATAGAATCACCTAGGCTTCTGAAGCCTTGCTCTTCCAGTTCCGTCTCCTATAGTACATGACTAACCACTGTCTTGTCAAGCTGTGCTTTGTATGCACAGCTTTCCTTGGCCGATGGCCCATGATCTTAACATTTCCATCATCCTGGGGTGGCCTCCTCTTATGTTGGATTGAATAAAAATGTTTCCCCCATAGGCCCAAAGGGAGTGGCACTATTAGGAGATGTGGTCTTTTTGGAATAGGTATGGCTTTGTTAGAGGAAGTGTCTCACTAAGGATGGGCTTTGAGGTCTCAGGTGCTCAAGCCAGGCCCAGTGTCTCACTCTCTTCCTGCTGCCTGAGGATTCAGGTATAGAATTCTCAGCTATCTCTCCAGCACCATGTCTGCCTGCATGCCACCATACTTCCTGCCATGATGATAATGGACTAAACCTCTGAACTGTAAGCCAGGCCCAGCTCATTGTTTCCTTCTAAGAGTTGTTATGGTCATGGTGTCTCTTCACAGTAATAAAATCCTAACTAACCACCACTGTGGAGCTTGGGGTTTATCTTCACAGCTTTCCACATGGTATTTTCACAATGAGTCTTTCCTCTTCAGTTAAGCCTGTTCGGAAATACCCTCAGAGATGTGCCCAGGGTGCATCACAAGTAGACAAATACTGTCAGTCATTGTCTCAGTTAGAGATCTGTAGATGAAAGTTTCTGTCCTGCCTCGTCCTGCAGCTGATCAGTACCAAAGAAACACACAGAGGCTTATATTAATTATAAACTTTGTGGTCTATCAGCTCAGGCTTATTATTAACTAGCTCTTACAACTTAAATTAAACCATAATTCTTATCTCTGTTTAGCCATGTGGCTTGGTACCTTTTCTCAGTGAGGCATTCTCATCTTGTTTCCTCAGCTTCTGGATGACAACTGTGTCTCTTTTTTCTTCTATCCAGAATTCTCCTAGTCTGATTGCCCCACCTATACTTCCTGCCTGGCTACTGGCCAATCAGTGTTTTATTAAACCAATACAAATGACAAATCTTTACAGGGTATAAGAATATTATTCCACAGCAAGGTTACTATTGCTGTGATGAAACACTATGACCAAAAGATAATTGGAAAGGAAAGGGTTTATTTGGCTCATGGTAGTCTATCACTGAAACAAGTCAGGACAAGAACTTAGGCAGGGCAGGACCCTGGAGGCAGGAGCTGATGCAGAGGCCTTGGAGAGGTGCTGCTTATTGGCTTGCTCCTAATGGCTTCCTCAACCTCTTTCCTTATAGAACCCAGGACTACCAGTTCAGGGGTGGTTCATCCACAAGGGCTAAGCCCTCCCTCATCAACCACCAATTAGGAAGATTCCCTACTAGCTTGCCTATAGTCCAATCTTATGGAGGCATTTTCTCCATTGAAGCTCTCTCCTCTCTGATGATTCTAGTTTGTGTCAAGTTGACATATAACTAGCCAGAATAGCCACCATATTCTCATTCACACCCATTTATATCTCACGCCTGTTTCACACCAATCTTTTTCAGCATCTAAATGCCTTTCTTATATCCTTGGAATTCTTGCTCTCTGAGTTCTTATTTTCCTGTCTTAGAGCTCTTTCTCTTTTATTAACTCTTCTTCTATTTAGAATCTAAACATGCTGAAGTCAGCAGTGTATACAGAGAAAATCTAAATCTGTTCTCACAATGTCTACAACCAGAGTTATGATTATCCTCTCTCGTGACAGTTATAATTTTGTGTTATTTGTCAGGTATTTGTCCATGTAATAGTGAAGAGTCTCAAAAATGGCAGATATTGAATTTACTAACCTTACTTTGAAAGATTTAAAAAAGAAAAAAAATTAATACTTGGAAGAAATAGTTTATCTAAGATCAACCAGGTCCATCAATTCCCTCGCTTCCTCATTTCCCTCCTGTCCTCTCCTCCCTCTCACCACTGCTTTGCCAACCACACGGGGCCGTAGAACATGATGGGGGGGGCACATTTAGGTATAGGTGCATGACAATCTTTTCCAACTTATCACGTATACACTTTCCTAATCTCTCCAACAACAAAGCCCCACGCCTGCTCCTATTCCCTCTGAGAGCTGGAGACCTTCGTGTGTTCCTCGTTACAAAGAAAATACAGTTCTAAATAAAAGTTGGTTCCATCCCTCAACAGCTCACAAGGCCGTGTTCTCTTCCTCACCAGCTCACTGTGTTCTCTCCTCACAGCTCACCGTGCTCCCTCCTCACAGCTCACTGTGTTCCCTCCTCACAGCTCACTGTGCTCTCTCCTCACAGCTCACTGTGTTCCCTCCTCACAGCTCACTGTGTTCTCTCCTCACAGCTCACCGTGCTCCCTCCTCACAGCTCACTGTGTTCCCTCCTCACAGCTCACTGTGCTCTCTCCTCACAGCTCACTGTGCTCCCTCCTCACAGCTCACTGTGTTCTCTCCTCACAGCTCACCGTGCTCCCTCCTCACAGCTCACCGTGCTCCCTCCTCACAGCTCACTGTGCTCCCTCCTCACAGCTCACCGTGCTCCCTCCTCACAGCTCACTGTGTTCCCTCCCTCACCAGCTCACAGGCCGTGTTCCCCCTCTCACCAGCTCACGAGTCACTACACATTGGAGGAGGCAGACACTTGATCATTCTTTTAGGTCTCTAACTGCACTGGCCTTGGGAAAGTACCTGACTATAGTAGCACTTTTTCGTCTGAGCTGTCAGTCCACAAATAACGACAAGGAGACTTATCATTAATTATGGAAGTTTGGCCTTAGTTTAGGCTTGTCCCACTAGCTCTTATTACTTAAGTTAACCCACTTCTATTACTCTACGTTTTGTCACATGGCCTTTTACCTTTCTTTCCTTCTGTATGTCCAAGTCCTTCCATGTTTCACTGGTGTCTTTTGGCGTAATCTGCAGGCCTAAATTCCTCTTCCTCTCTCTCCCATTCCCCCCCCCCCTTATCTATGCTGCCTAGCTATTGGCCATTCGGTTCTTTATTAAACCAATCACAGTGACACATCATCAAACAGTGTAAACTAATGTTGTGCAACACCTCACCTAAGTTTCACGCTAGAAAATAGGGACAGTGATTTGTTGTGATCTGTTGTAGTGGTTTAGAGTGCTTTAGCAGGAACCAAGAGGCCTGCATACCCGTAAATGTTACTTGGAAAACAGCACGCACAGTCTTTGCATCACACCGGACTGCAATGGTGATAGATTTTGATGCTGTGTGTTCCATGGTCACTTCTTTCTAGGCTGTCTCCCACTAAAGGTCCAATACTACCAAAATCCAACCCTAAGAGTCCTGGCATGACCACCAAGTTTCATCATTTTGGCCTATTCCAAACTATGCAGTTTGGTGCAGTAACAAATACATAGTATTTTGCATAGTAACAGATACATTTAGTTAAAATGTGAATATACCCACTACTCAAACACAATTCTGCTCCCTGGTGCTATTTAGCCTTTGTTGAGTACTTACTCTTGGGACTTAGTACCCATTAATTCATCACACAACCTTAAAGATACCATGATTCTCCCCAGTGCACAGAGGAGTAAATAGAAGTCTGGGCTTGCAAAACCCTTGGCTTATCACTAGTTGGTAAGAATCTGGGTTAAATTGAAGTGCAAACCAAAGCAGTCTAACCAAGCTCTTCTTTTCATCACAGTAAGGCTGAAAAAATTTTTAAATTACTGTAAAGACACAAAACAAAAACAAACAAACAAAAACCCTTCCAAATGGGGGGGGGGAGGGGTCAGGGAACTCCCGAGAGATACTTGCCGAGGAGTGGCTGCAGAGAGCCAGAGAGGCCGATGCAGTCTGGGGTCTCCTGCCCCATGGCGCCAACCACAGTGCACAGCAGACTGGCTGGAAACGGGGTTCACTTCAGTCTCACTGCCTACAGGGATAGAGCAGCCTGGGCTGTGGACAGACTGATGGGTACCCTGGGATTGCGCCCCTCCAGCCACCCTATCCATCTTGTGCTCCACTACGTTAACTGCCTGAAAAGCGTCATTTCCCAGGTCACTGACACACTCTGAGTCCACTGACGGCAAGCCATCAGGGACAGCCAATGCTCGGCTCCTTTCCAGCTTCCAGTCCAAGCTTTTCTTTGCATGCCTGTGTTTAATTCTCTCTAGAGGTCGTCTCCCACTAAGGACCTCTTCCCACCAGTTTGCTTATGGCCCTGAGCCCCAGGTATCTTGTTCCTCCCTCAGGCACTGGCTGATAAAATCGGTGTGGGCTGCTGCCTGGTGCGCGGTGAGTACAGCCGAGCGTGGAACGAAGTGAAGCTGCTGAACGAGGCTCGGAAGGGCATCATCGGGCGCCTGCCCCCACCGGAAGAGTACATCGTGGATCTCATGTTCCACCCGGGGGCCCTGCTGAAGCTCCGCAGCAAAGAGGCAGACCTCTACCGCTTCCTTTAGTCACCAAAGGAACGCAGGAGCACCCAAACCAGAAATTATCTCCTCGTGCTTTCTAAGAAGGGCACTAGCTGATTTGATAGCTTCAAATAAAGGCCGTAGAAACGGTTTGTGTGTCGAAATAAACTGAGGGTGTGGCTGTACGTGCTCCGGGGCTCTAGGCTGTGAAGTTCGGGATCCGTCAGGGCCTCCCACGCTCCCCATCCTCACACAAGGTTGCTGTGGGTGAAACCGTTCAGCCCTCTTGGAGCTTAGTACTCATCAACGATGGCGCCCAGCGACTGCTTCCTGTGATGGAGTGAACTTGCCACTGTCCCTCTTGGTATCCAGCATGAGTCAGGTAACACTTGATTTAAATAAACTCCCGCCCATTTGTGCTGTCTCAGTACTGGTTCCGCCTTTTGAGACTCTAGTATTTCAAAGTAGTTTCTGACTTGATTATTCATGTTTATTTGTTCATTATTTGACTTCTGTTGATTCTGATCCCACCCTCCCTCTGTCCCCTCGCATTCACCCTCTGCCCCTGCTACCTCCGCTCCAAAACCAAACTAAATATAAAAGAAAAACCAAAACTCAAACAAAACAAAGAAACAAAAACAAGCAAGCAAAAAAGAAAGAATCTTGTCCTGAGAGCTGCAGTGTGGACCGCTGAGTTTTACAGTTTACCCTTTAGTCTGTTTACCTTTTCCTGCAAGTGTTCACTGCACGGGTCATTGGTCTGGCTCCAGTCCTCTGGCTTCCACCTGCCACTGATAAGGGGCCCTCACTGGGGCTCCTCCTGCACACGCTGTTGTCGTGTGTCATGGGGGTCCTGCTGTCTGCTCCTTCCCATGCTCCAACAGCTCACAAGTGAGGAGGATGTTGGGCTGGGCCAACTCACAGCCCTGGTTCTGGACCTGGGTGGTAGCTGGGTTGTTCAGCCCACCAGGCTTCCCTCATCATCCCACCCAGGAGAGCTCTCCAGCGCGGGCTTGGCTAGTTCGCCCAGTGCAGCCTGCAACAAGGAGTGGGGCCAGTTCTCCCGTTCTACAGACCTCAGGCTGGCACCCAGAGTCATACCAGGGCCAGCTTTACCATGTCGCTGTAGGGGCACACGGGCACACGGGGAGGTAGGGGCAGGGTCAGCTCTCCTGCTGTCAGGCCCTTAGGGTCTGCTCACTCCTGCCTCCAACAACAGGGTCAGCTCTAGTGTGCTACCCAGGTGAGGTGCATGTCTATGTGCGCTGTGTGTGTGTGTGGGGGGGCATCTTTCCTATGTGTCGGGTTGGGGGGCCTAGGAGGTGGATCTAGCTCTCCCTGGAGGGGAAGGGCCAGCTCTCCTGCTGCAGTATCCAGTGAGGGACAGGGCCACCTATCCCAGGGCCAGTCAAGGGGAGAGCTGACTCAGCAAGCATGGTTTCAATGACTACATGCTAACATCGACCAGGGACATAGTCATAGACACCAGCTGCAGCAGGACAATGACCCCAGACATGGCCCTCACAGCAACTGGGATGTGGATGTCATCATGGCCCTAGTGTCAAAACAGGCCACCCAGATGAGTATGGCCCTCAGGCACCAACATGGTCTCAAATAGCTGACTGAGCAGAATCTGGTTATCCTCATGGTCCTCAGTAGTAACAGGAGCCATGGACGTCAACTCAGACCCTGACTTCTGTAGGGCCATGGACACTGACATGACCCCTGATGACAGCACAGGCCACTTAGATCAGCACGACACCGGCAGCGGCATGGCCCTCTGACACCCTCATGGCACAGGCTGCATTCTAGACCCCAGGCATTTGTATGGACCAGGAGCATCAACACAGACCCCGGCTGTGGTAAGACTACGAACCCAAACATGGTCCTCGGCAGCCTGGGCCAGGATGTTACCATGACTCCAGGTGACAGCCCAGATTACAGACCTCTGCACAGCCCTCAGTGGTGACAGGAGCCACAGACATCAACATAGGCCTTCTTGGCTGCTTCAGGGCCTTGAGCCAAGACCTGCCCTGATATGGGAGGTGATTTATGTTGTGAATATGTTTTATTGCCCTTGGTTAAGCTGCTTTCAGTCAATGGCTTAACAGAGTAAAGCCAGGCTAAAAGAGATATAGAGAGAGTAGGCAGAGTCAGGGAGAAGCCATGCAGCTGCCCGCAGAAGACAGACACACCAAAACCTTGCTGGTAAGCCACAGTCTCGTGGCAATACACAGATGAATAGAAATGGGTTAATTTAAGATATAAGAGTTATCCAGAAATATGCTTAAGATACTGGCCAAACAGTATTGCAATTAATACAGATTTTTGTGTGATTGTTTCAGGTCAGGGCAGCAAAAGCAAACCAGTGGCCTCCCCCAACACTAACCCTTGGTCATAGCCCAGGCCCAGACCTCCTTGGACTCGGGTGGCAAGCCGGACATTCACATCACCCTGTCCCTCGCCACTCAGCTCTTCAGATCCGCCTCTCTCCCCAGCCTGTGGACCCTTCTGTCTTTCATTTCCCCACCCTATACTGGCTCACCATAATTGTGCCTGACTGCTCGACACCAGGGCTCTTGATTGAGTCACAGGTGGTGCTTGGTTGAGTCCTGACCATTTTTCTTCTCTCACATGTCTAGGCCTAGAAAGCTCAGGCAGTGCTTGACATGATGGTGCCCGGCACTGACCAACAAGTCTGAGGGGGAGAGCCATCTGTGTCCTGTGCTGGCTCAGGCCTGGAAAAGGCTGACCAGCTCCTGGTTGATTGTGCCCCCAACAGACTCATAAGATGGTGTATTTGCTTATTTTTAAGTTGCCATTAGGAGCACTGTTTAGGGACTGTGTGGTTAAATTAAGAATGCATACTCTAATCCCACCCCACCCCCAGGCTCATGGAATTGAATGCTTGGTCATTACAGACTGGTGCCTCTTGACAGTAATTAGGAGGTGTGGCCTCGTTGGAGGAGATGTGTCACTAAGGTTTTCAGAAGCTCGAGGCAGGCCTAGCTTCTTTCTCTCTTCCTGCTGCCTGTGGATCCAGATGTAGAACTCTCAGCTCCAGCACCATGTCTGACTGCCTGCTGCCATGTTCCTGCCTCGATGATAATGGACTAACCTCTGAAACTGTAAGTAAGCCCAATTAAATGCTTTATTTTATAAGAGTCGCTGTGGTCATGGTGTCTCTCACAGCATTAGAATACTGACTAAGACAACGACTCACTGGGGACGCTGCTTGCTGCACAAAGATGAGTACATGTGCTCCTGCCCCTGGCAAGCACCTAAAAAAGCCACCACACTCCTCCTGAGCTTGAGGATTAGACTAATGTCTGACCTCTACACCTTTGCATGCATGCACAACCACACGTACAAACACATGCACACCAGCACATTTGATTTAATACTGGGTCACCCCCAAATTGTTTTACATTAATATAATTAGAAAATTACAGGATCTGAGGGGAAAACAATTATACAGAGCAAATAGAGCAAATTTGGGTGAGAAATTGAGGTTTTAGATGAGCACAAAGAGAGGAGGGAATACATACCCATTTTATTTTATTTTATTTTATTTTATTTTATTTTATTTTGACCCACAATGGAGCACCGGACTGAAATCTCAAGGTCCAAATCAGGAGCAGAAGGACAGAGAGCACAAGCAAGGAACTCAGGACCGCTAGGGGTGCACCCACACACTGAGACAATGGGGATGTTCTATCGGGAACTCACCAAGGCCAGCTGGCCTGGGTCTGAAAAAGCCTGGGTTAAAACAGATCTCGCTGTACATACCCATTTTAAATGCAATACAGATGAGGATTATCAATACACCGACTCTCATGAAGTATATATTTTCTAGTAAATCATTTAAGTCTGAGTTTATCTGTATAATCATTTTCCTTATGTGTTTTAAATGGGGTTGATTTTAGGACCTATGATTAAGATTGTTTCTCACAAATCAGTTTGTAGGGTCGAGGACATGGCTCAGCAAGTAAGGACCCTTGCTTTGCAAGCATGAAAACCTGAGTTTGAATCTCTAAGTGCTTGAGTAAGAAGCAGGGAAGCTGGAGACATACAAGCCCTTAGAACTCTTTGGCTAGGCAGCCTACCCAAAACAGCCAGCCTCGGGTTCAGCGAGACACCCTGTCTCAAAGCACTAAGGCTGCAAGTGGGGCACACCAAGTATCCTCCTGCTCTGGCCTCTGAATGAACACACATGGGCACATATGCACCTACATACGTGTGCACACACATCGCAGTGTGTACCTGAGTACACACGCTCACATAGAGACACAAATCTGTAATTTTAAGGCATAAAATTCTTTATCTCCGAATAAGCCTCTTCATTTTTTTCCAGTGACATGGTAAATTCTATTTATCATATGATTTAATGAATTAGAGTATGGACGATAGGGCATGAGCCCCTCTCAGCATTTTTCAAGCCTGTTTTCATCCAGCAGATACTTAAGATGGATTACGGAGGTTTATAAAGTGTAGCAAGATGAAAATGAATAAAGAACAAAAGCGCAGGAGAGAGCTCTAGGCCGGGAATGAGCTGAGCATGTGAAATGCATCCCTGAAGATGGTGAGTGAGAGCCTGGCTCCACTCCAGGCAGCCGCTGGAAAGGCGACGCTGTCGGTTAAGTGATTAGACCAGTGTCTACCAGCTACCGGCACAGAGGACCTTCTCAGAAGGAACAGAAACGGGTTCCTTCTGAAGCTTCATTGTGATAAGCAATGTAATAGGAAGAAACCAGCGCCCTACGTTCTAGAACTGATTTCGTAGGCCAGTAGTCAGACATCATGGTAGAATGAGCTAAGAGTTTAAAGTGGGGCCATTATGATGGACCCAGGTGGACACGCGCTCTTAATCTGGTGCTGACCAAAACATATTTGGTTGGCTTGTTTCTTGCATCTTTCAGACAATTCCATGCGATGTCCATCTTAGGCTCTGGGTAATTATTGAACAGACAGTTTAAATTCTATTCTCAGGCAGGTCTTTGAAGTTTAAGAAGCATAGAGTTTAATAACCAGCAGCAGATTACATGAAATAATTTCAATGACAACAAATATTCTGGAATGCCTATAAATGAACTTCAGAGGCAATATGAGAGAGAAATAAAATTTCCATGACTACATGGCAAGACGAGGCCATGCTTTTTGCTGGGAGACTCAGCAAGACGCTGCCAGCATTCCCACATAAACACATGGGCAGTATTTCTTTCATTAGAACCGCTGTGTACCCTTTATGAACTTGGCAGAAAAATCCATCTAGAAGAATGCATGAATATCCACACTAGTTTAAAATGGAGAAATACAGAGGGATTGGCTGCCCACTTCCCATCGTGTATTAGAACGAATATTGAAAAGCAATCAGAAGTCAATTAGTATGGCACGAACATAGAAGCAGAAGAACTAAGACAC